CCTAGCGTCTTATCTTTATAAGACATCCCCTGAAAATAAGACCTAGTGCAACTTTGGGAGAAAAAATTAATATAAGACACTGTCTTATTTTCGGGGAAACAGGGTAGGAAAGCTTACAGAGCTCTGACTTCGCAGAGAAAAATGGAATAACTGGAGTTCAAAGCAGATAGCAGTACTTCTGTTTTTAAAGCACCTTTGCAATATGGGGAAACACAACAGCCAAACCTCTGAAAAGTCTCTCCGATCCACATGCAGTACCTGTCTGCCTGCATCTGGAAGAGGGGGCTTCAGAGTCCTGCTTGCTGGACCCCAGACCCCAAATTAAGAGAGTGACAATGGTGATGCTGATGAATGGAGGCAACTGCTGAGAGAGGAAAGTGGGAAGGAACCGAGCCTCATGAACTCTCTTCCCTGCCTTCTCTTGGTTCCCACTGGCCCATATTCAGAAGTGACTATAAAAGACAAGCCTGGCCGAAACCTGTTTGGCTCAGTGGATAGAGCGTTGGCCTGCGGACTGAAAGGTCCCAGGTTCGATTCCGGTCAAGGGCATGTACCTTGGTTGCGGGCACAGGAGGCAGCTGATCAATATTTCTCTCTCGTTGATGTTTCTAGCTCTCTATCCCTCTCCCTTCCTCTCTGTAAAAAAATCAATAAAAACATACAAGGCTGGAGGGGAAAGTATGAAGGAGTCTGTCCCTGGGAAGTCCAGCTACCTACGATTTCCTCCTCACTGCCTTCTCTCTACTCTCTGTCCCATTCCCCAGACCTAAGGGAAGCCACTTTGGTAGATCAGTGTTCCTGGGAGAAGGGTGCATTTCAAAGGATACCCTTGAAAGTCAAAACCAAAGGGAATGTGGCTCTAATTATGGGCAGAGCAGGCATCCCAGGGCACAGGGCACTCTTCTTGTCCTAAGGCTCTGGGAATATGTCTCCCCTTGAGTGAAGGCCAGGAAACAGGGGCCCTAGGGTTCAGCTCTGCATTAGGGTCATAGATGGACCTCTTCAACATCAATACCGAGCTGCCAGTCAGGTCTAATGCCAGCTGGGCACTCCATCCAGGCTGTTAATCCCAGGGAGGCAGCTATGCTGGCACCCATCCCTCCCCTGATTGACTGAGCTTTGGGAAGGAGGCCTGGCTATGGTGTAGGCAGTTGTCCCTGAAATCCAAAGAGCTCTGTGAAGACACTGCACAACTCCAGGTCCGGGTTTAAGGTAGAGGCATCTGTTGGTGAGGTGTGGCTTGAGAAACAACAATCCTAGCCTATCAGGAATGGGTGGCGGCAAGGCAAATGGTAGCTAGCAACCAATGCTGAGGGATCAGTAGAACAGATTTTTTTAAAAATATATATATATATTATTGATTTTTTACAGAGAGGAAGAGAGAGGGATAGAGAGTTAGAAACATGATGACAGAGAATCATCAATCAGCTGCCTCCTGCACACCCAATACTGGGGATGTGCCCAAAACCAAGGTACATGCCCTTGACCAGGATCGAACCTGGGACCTTTCAGTCCGCAGGCCGACACTCGATACACTGAGCCAAACCGGTTTGTTTCGGCAGTAGAACAGATTCTTTCTCAGGGATCCCTTTGCTGGCCTCTGTGAGTGTCAGCATGCACATCTCTGGAGCAAGAGGGAAAAAGGAAAGGCATAGTTCCCAAAAGCCTAAGAATAAAATCAGAATGCTCTCTGGAATTGCCCCCTGACCCAGGAGCATGTGTGAAAACAGTTAAAATTCAAGAAAAATAATCAAACTATAGGACAAGGCACTTAAAATGTAGCAGCGGAACTCAAGAGACAAGCAAACAGCCTCCTCCTTTTCCCTGAATTTAGTTTCATTCGGGACCCTCCAGCACCACCCTTTTTACCTCATAACTCTGGTAATGTAAATATCTTTTCTCAATTAGCTTCTAAGATTATTCAATGGCAAGGTAAGAAATGGATTCCTTTTTAAAATATATTTTACTGATTTTTTACAGAGAGGAAGGGAGAGGGATAGACAGAAACATCGATGAGAGAGAAACATCGATCAGCTGCCTCCTGCACACTCACTACCAGAGATGTGCCCACAACCAAGGTACATGCCCTTGACCGGAATCGAACTTGGGACCCTTGAGTCTGCAGGCAGGCTGACGCTCTATCCACTGAGCTTATGGGTCAGGGCAAGAAATGGATTCTTGCTGTAACTTCCAATCAGGGTCAGATAACGTCATTATAAAACGTTACACCAATTTTGCCGAAACCGGTTTGGCTCAGTGGTAGAGCGTTGGTCTGCGGACTGAAAGGTCCCGGGTTTGATTCCGGTGAAGGGCATGTACCTTGGTTGCGGGCACATCCCCGGTAGGGGGTGTGCAAGAGACAGCTGGTCGATGTTTCTCTCTCATCGACGTTTCTAGCTCTCTATCTCTCTCCCTTCCTCTCTGTAAAAAATCAATAAAATATATATTTTTTTAAAAATTATACCAATTTTAAGAAAGGAGTGTAACACAGAGCTCATTTAAATTCTATATGGCTGATGAAAATCCTTCCATATGCATCCTTATTTTCTTACCACATTTAGTGATTCAGTACTAAGGCCCTGTTTTAAAACTTTTTTGTTTCTAACAAGTCAATACTGTAAAAAACGTTCATTTGCCATTTTCAGTGAAACGCTAAATTGTTTTGCCCATTGGAACGTAGTCTGCATGGCTCTAGATGAAATTGTCAAGACTGTTTCCCCGGGGTGCAGATACTTCAGAGATATTAACCTTCCTTTACCTTCGTTGTCAAGGGATACATTGCTTTTAACCAAAGGTCAGTTGGTCCTTCCTGACAACACAGTGGAAATAGACTTACCAGTTTCGCCCCCTGAGACTAGCTGTTAGCTACCGAAAACATAATTAACAACAGTCTGCCAGGCAACAAGGGCATTTTTTTTGCTTCACGCAAGGAGAGTTGAGGTGCCTCCAATTTAACAGGGGCCACAAGAGCTAGTTATCAAATTGACAATTTTGACCTGACCTCGAAAAGTGGCTGTAAAACGATGGCTAGTAAATTAAGATAAATGCCAAGTCCCTCCGAGGAAACAGGCCTATGTAATAACTATCAAATGGGCCTTCAGGTTTGAGGCCAAGATTTCACAAGAAGGCTATAAATACCAGCCTGGCCACGAGGGAAGACGTGCGATCAGTTATTGTATACACAACATCACCGTGACTCACTTCCCTCAGCATTACGCTTGGCTGGAGATTTTAAATTCCTCTTTAAAAACAAGACTACTGTACCACAGGGTAAAGATTTTATTATCCTCAATAATGGGATTGAATATGCCAAGGCGCAGAAGCAGAAAATTAGATCTGGTGATGCCGGTGCCGAGACAGGGGGTTACTGAGAAATACGATGGGTCACACTGATGGGAGGCCCGTTGGGGAAAGGCCTGGCTCCAACCAAGAGAGATGAGAGAAGTCCAGCTAGATCTGGTCTCAGCCAGTAGAATGGAGTGAGAACATGGGCATTTATTGAACCTCTACTATTCCCGTGTTACTGGAATGCTAACCCAGGAGGCAAAGGCGCTGTGGAGTTAAGCGAAGAGATTACTAATCTTGGTCTCTCCCTCAGAGGCCATTGCCAAATAATGCCAAGAAGCCAGGAGTCACCACCTGCTTGATTCATCATCTTTGAATAACAAACCTTGGTCAAACAGGTTCCTGGAGACAAAATACAAGCCATAAACTTGCAACCTAAATTTTCTTTTGTTAAATTCCTTAACATTGAAAGTATTACAGATATTCCCCTTGTATTTTGATTTTGATTTTGATCAACTGCAGGGAGGGTCATATGAATCTTGAGCCTTCTTTCTTTTCTTTTTTTTTAAATATATTTTATAGATTTTTTTTTTTTTTTTACAGAGAGGAAGGGAGAGGGATAGAGAGTTAGAAATATCTATGAGAGAGAAACATCGATCAGCTGCCTCCTGCACACCCCCCACCCATTGGGGATGTGCCCACAACCAAGGCACATGCCCTTGACCTGAATCGAAATTGGGACCTTTCAGTTCGCAGGCCGACGCTCTATCCACTGAGCCAAACCAGTTTCGGCTCTTGAGTCTTCTTTCATTTTTCCTGCTCATTCAGACTGGTTCCTACTGTGTTTGCTCCCGTCTGTCTCTCGGATCTATTGCTTCCGGCACCGATATTTAGGGAAGGAAACATAAAAGAAGGTGTGATTTAAGTTCCTGTCAGTGCTCCAATTAAATACAGTGCCTTGTTCTCCCTAAAGCCCGCCACTTGGCCAGACTTAAATGAGATGATGAGATGTAACTCAGGACCCTCTGCCCACTGCCTTCCTCTGTGCTGACCTCCAGCCAGACCTGCGGGCATGACAAGCAAGTGACTAGATCCATGGTCAGCAAACTGCGGCTCTTGAACCACATGTGGCTCTTTGGTCTCTTGAGTGTGGCTCTTCCACAAAATGCCACGGCCCGGGAGAGTCTATTTTGAAGAAGTGGCATTTGAAGAAGTTTAAAAAACGTGGCTCTCAAAAGAAATTTCAGTCGTTGTACTGTTGATATTTGGCTCTGTTGACTAAGGAGTTTGCCGACCACTGAGCTAGGTATCTCCCCTGGAGTGTCCCACCAACCAAGGGAAATAGATGCTCTGCAAACTACACCAACACCCTACAACTGCCGATCTACCCTATCCCCAAGAGACATAGGCACAAGTCTACTCAGCTTTCTCTAGGCAAAAATCCACCCAGTTCTCTTAAGCAGGGAGGGAGCACGAAGACCTTAGCTCCTCTGGCTGCCCTATGACTAGCCATTCACACTTATGAATCATGCAAACACGAGCCTCTCTCTCCACAGGAGAAGTCATTGACATTTACTTGTCACTGGTTACACTAGGGCTGGTTCTGTTTCCCTTAACGCAGTAAGTTGCCTATCACCAAGTCGATTCCTCTCTTTAAAGAGATCAGCCTTTCACACTTCTGATCTGGTCTTTTTCTGCTCTCCCCTCCCCCTCAGGTCATGGATTATATGGGACTTTTGAAATGTTGTCCTCCTGGAGGAAAACTAGAGAAGACCAACACGTTAAAGAGAGAACTGCAGAGGTCTATGCCGACTCCATGCTCTCCTTTTCTCTCACCACTGCCATGTACCTGGTCACCTTTGGCATAGGGGCCAGCCCTTTCACGAACATTGAGGCAGCCAGAATCTTCTGCTGCAATTCCTGTATTGCAATCCTTTTCAACTACCTCTATGTACTCTCATTTTATGGTTCCAGCCTGGTGTTCACTGGCTACATAGAAAACAATTACCAGCATAGTATCTTCTGTAGAAAAGTCCCAAAGCCCGATGTATTGCAGGAGAAGCCGGCATGGTACAGGTTTCTCCTGACAGCCCGGTTCAGCGAGGACACAAGCGAAGGTGAGGAAGCCAACACGTATGAGAGTCACCTATTGGTATGTTTCCTCAAACGCTATTACTGTGACTGGATAACCAACACCTATGTCAAGCCTTTTGTAGTTCTCTTTTACCTTATTTATATTTCCTTTGCCTTAATGGGCTATCTCCAGGTCAGTGAAGGGTCAGACCTTAGTAACATCGTAGCGACAGCGACACAAACCATTGAGTACACTGCTGCCCAGCAAAAGTACTTCAGCAACTATAGTCCAGTGATTGGGTTCTACATATATGAGTCCATAGAATACTGGAACACTAGTGTCCAAGAAGACGTACTAGAATACACCAAGGGGTTTGTGCGGATATCCTGGTTTGAGAGCTATCTAAATTACCTTCGGAAACTCAACGTGTCCACTGGCTTGCCTAAGAAAAACTTCACAGACATGTTGAGGAACTCCTTCCTGAGAGCCCCCCAATATTCGCATTTTCAAGAGGACATCATCTTCTCGAAAAAGTTCAACGGTGAGTACGACGTAGTGGCCTCCAGAATGTTCTTGGTGGCTAAGACCATGGAAACCAACAGAGAAGAACTCTACGATCTCCTGGAGACCCTGAGGAGACTCTCCGTCACCTCCAAGGTGAAGTTCATTGTTTTCAACCCGTCTTTCGTGTACATGGATCGCTACGCCTCCTCTCTGGGCGCCCCCCTGCACAACTCCTGCATCAGTGCTTTGTTCCTGCTCTTCTTCTCGGCATTCCTGGTGGCAGACTCCCTGATCAATGTCTGGCTCACGCTCACGGTCGTGTCCGTGGAGTTTGGAGTTGTAGGTTTCATGACCCTGTGGAAAGTCGAACTAGACTGCATTTCTGTGCTATGCTTAATTTATGGAATTAACTACACCATTGACAATTGTGCTCCACTGTTATCCACGTTTGTTCTTGGCAAGGACCTCACAAGAACTAAATGGGTCAAAAATGCCCTGGAAGTGCATGGGGTAGCTATTTTACAGAGTTACCTCTGCTATCTTGTTGGTCTGATTCCTCTCGCAGCTGTGCCTTCAAATCTGACCTGTACACTGTTCAGGTGCTTGTTTTTAATAGCATTTGTCACCTTCTTTCACTGCTTTGCCATTTTACCTGTGATACTGACTTTCCTGCCGCCCTCTAAGAAAAAAAGGAAAGATAAGAAAAATCCTGAGAACCGGGAGGAGATTGAGTGTGTGGAAATGGTGGATATGGATAGTACCCGAGTGGTGGACCAAATCACCACAGTGTGAGAGTGTGTCTGCTTGTTATATTTTCACCCTAGGTCTTACGGAGAGCAAAGAGATGACGCTGATGAAACAGATTTAGAGTTTTTCTTTCTTTTGTAAGGACAAGAAACGGGCATTGATTGCCCAAAAGAAAGTAAAGGACAAGGGGGGAAATGGGCATTGCATATTTTCAACCTTTCCAACAAAAGGTTGATATCAGAATTTATACACACACACACACACACACACACACGCACACACACACACACGAAGATCAAATAGAAGGAAGCTTCAGAGCAAGCAGAATCCTATTTTATTCACACTGCAGATGTTGCTGGTATTGTGACAAAAACCTACTGATTGAAAGGTCAGCTGCCAAGGCAGAAATAGCTTTACGCATTGTTCAAACAGTAAGGCTTCCAGAACTTCTGCAGAGCAGTAGCTCCAGGCAGGCTCTGTGGTTTGAGGTTTCAGTCATCTCACCTAGCTCCCCAACACCCCAAGGAGATGCTTGTGAAAGCTCTGGCCAGCAAACGCGAGCCAGAACTTCAGAAGCAGTCACACGGCGGAGTAGCGATCACCACGGGCTGCAATCACCCAGGTGAGACAGTTTTGTTGTGTAGCATGAATGGATCCTGTCCCCCCCACCCCCCTCCCATCGATATATTTTTTAACATTTGTCTGGTTTGGTTACTATACCTTTAAACCAGTGACAGCTCCAGCATTGCAGAGTTGGGCGATTCTATTTTGGAATATCCTGTTGCTTGTCACCAAATGGATCTGCTTTATTAGTTACAGCTCTTGGCAGGAGGCTCTGAGTCCCCGAAACCACAGAGCCAAACCCAAATACCTGGCACGATGGAGGAAAAGCAGGTGTCTACTTGAACCCGGAGACAGTGTTTCCATTTTAAGACAAAAATGGCCAGCTGGTACAGCTGTTTGCTGTCTGGCCCTACATGCAATGTGTGCGTGGATGCCCAGAAACAAAATCTGCCCACGCCTAGCTAAGGCAGGAGAAGATAATGCTGAGATGGTAAGTGCCAGCGCGCCTGCGCTCTGCTACATCCCTGCTCAGATACACGGAGGACAGAAGGTGCTCTGGTGGGTGCAAGTCTTGAAGCGGAGACACTTCAAGAAAACGCAGGCAGGGAGATAAAGGATGGAAAGGGAGATAGATGGAAGGACCGGAAGATGTACTCTCTGATATAAATCTATCAATGCTGACCGTCAAACTTTCCTGCTAAACTGGCTGCACTTTCACCTTTCCTGCCCCACCCCAAGCCTTCGTTGCGGCCCGTCTACTTCCTTGCATGGCCCATCTGCACGTCAGTGAGCCTAGATGCTTATGCTGTTGACTTGCAGTACCTGCAGGATCTAAACAGAAACGGTTTGATCTGCAGAGGCTATGTACGTTGCCCCAGACCCCTGCGTTTCTTTCAGTCTGTACAAATTAAGCTAAAAGCTGGTCGCCTTTGAGGCCACTGTCTACAGTGATTTTTCCCCCTTTAGAGATGTAGCTTACTTAGACATCTATAGTGATAAGCAGTTCCCAAAAGCACCTTACCTTCTTGGACTTTAGCGGATGTACTGTGCAACTTTCCCCATCCTCCACTGAGGAGGAAACCGAGACCTAGGATGATTAAGTCACAACACTAGATGGTTTCTATCATTTTAGCATGTCTAAGACAGGGCAGGCCAATTTTAGATTTTTCTCATAAGAGGGCTATTTACTCCCTTCAAAGTACATTTCCAAGGAAGGAACATGGGACTTGGTTGGCCACAGGGCAGGCTTTTTTTTTTTTTTTTTAAACATCTGGGTAATTGTTTGGGATTTGTCATTGTCTCGCCAAACGGCAGAAATTGCCCAAATGATTCCGATGTACTTCACCAAGTGCAAACCTGTGCTTTCTATTTCATGTACTGTTGTCCACACGGCTGTAAATACATGTGCAGGGGGTCATCCCTGGTATGTTCCACACCTGTTCAATCTCTCCTGCAGACACATGAAGCGATCATACCAACATGGTATGATCATACTCAACTAGAAGATACTGAGCTTTAACCTGAGGACAAACACAGGCCTCAAAGAAGGGCACATTCAAATAATAGATCTGCGATCAATTCTCTCTTCGAGGGGCCTGCACCAAGGCTAGTATTTATCAAACATGGCTGAAGAGGGGATTGCTTTTATTCTTAAATCATATGTTGCTAAATCATTTTCTGAACAGTGTGTTCTAAATCAGCCATTGATTTCGTGTCAGCCACGTGGAGCATCTCGGGTTCAAACGACTCCACAAAACTGATAACGACACACTCACCGATTAAGTGGATTTTGTTGAGAATTTAATCATTCAATGTGGTCAACCGGAAGGACTTACCGTGGAACTTTGTTTTACGACAGTTTTCCAACTTGATTTGAGACTCTGTATTCCTTGGGATAATGTACTTTTAAATGAAGGGACTTTTCAACCTTATCAACTTCTCTTTTCAACACTTGAAATCAAGGTTTATGAAATTCTGACTGTGGAATGACTTTTTCTTTTTTTAACTGGGGGACTCTGCATGCCAAGATTTATTACTGATTATTTATTGTTAGATCATTATTTAACTGTTAATAATGATTATTGATTATTGCTCTGACAGCATTGGTTTAGCCCCAGCTTAACCCCACCATGGAGAAGACACTTTAGAAGTAACTCAGAATCACATCCATATAAAATTTGTCTCTACTTCATGAAGTTTTACTTTTTCAATTGCTATGAAGAGGGAAAGAACGACCCTAGCAAACACTTGGAAAAGTTTTAGTTTTCAATTAATTCCAACCAAGGCATTAATATTCACTTTACCAAAGAAACTCATTTGGTTGGTTTTTGAGTTGGTGTTTGTTTACCAAAGAAAATATTCCATTCATCACAAACATTTCTCCTGGTCAACTTTTTAAAAACTGTGATACTTGGGCTTTCTTGGCCATTAATAAGGAAAAAAAAAAAAGTCAGGGTAAGGATTATATTCTCTCAGCAGAAGACATAAATTCCCAAGACACTTGGGTTTTGCAAGACAGAAAAATGATACTTGAAATGGGGCATTATTGTTTAGCAATGGTCCAATAAGTAGCATAAGGGCTCCTCAGGCTAAAAGGACTACATGTGTTCCACAGAAAACAAGATAAACCCTCATGAAACCCCTCTCCATTGTTACAGCTCATAAGTATTGTCCTGGTTAGGTTTTGGGGTTGGAGGTTTTCTGGCTTTTGTTTTGCTGTGGTTTGGTTTGTGGTGTTTGTGTTTGGCTGTCTTGTTCTCACCTTTCCTACCACTTTCACCCCTACGATTTTCAGTCAAAAGTGAAATAATCTAAATCCATCCTCCATGGCTGCAGTTATGTATGCAATATACTGCTCTATACAAGGCCCTTGATGACCCTTTCATTGTAACTAACCACCACCCAACTGTTCTAAGTGGTATTCTTGGACCCTAACACCACTTCCCTCCAGCCCCAGCTGTGTCTATCTCAAGAACAGGTGGGCTGGGCAGCCACCTTGGGGGTTTGGCAAGAGGCAGAGCCTTTTGGACACAAATGGTATCCTCTTCCTAATGGCTTTATTCCTTCGGATCCTATTAAAGTAGTCCTGCAGCTTGTAGTAGTGTCTGTGAATCTCTGCTTTCTCGTCTTTAAAATGGGGATAACAGTCATTATCTTTTAATCCAGCAAATACTTACTGAGTGCCTGATATCAGCTAGATCCTGTTCAAGACTGGGGCAGAAGTGAACAAATCAGATCATGCCATCCACTCTTGGAGAGCCTACATTTGAGTGACAATGCAGAGTCACTGGAAGGATTAAGTGAGATGATACATTCATGGCAAGACCTAGCATATAAAACTAACTGAAGACATTATTATTTGTAATAGTAGCCCTGAGCACCAATCTGTGTGTCAGTAGCTCTCTGTGGGGCCTGGCCACTCCGTGCCCGCTGCCCGGAGGTTCTCTGCGGCCCAGAGGCCCATGCATAGCCACGTGCGGAACACTTGCCTTGTCGCCGGGGCAATGACACAACGGTTCTGAGCCCTGGACTGGCCAGAGGCCCATCGTGGTCAGGCATGGAATGTTTGTCTCATTACCACGGTGATTTAGTAAACATTCTGCCAGGCTGCTCACACTGCCCACTCTCAGGGGCTGCCCCCCTGGGATGGGGGACTCTGGCAGGGCTGAGAGGCTTGGGCATTACTGTCTTTTTTTTTCCCCCCCTATGGAGTGACAGTTAATTTGCATATTATCCTTTTATTAGATAAGATGTGTCTGTTCCACAGTGCGGCTCAGGATGCATAGCTACAGAGAAGTGGATTTTTGTAGACTTGTGCCCAGGACTAGGGCTACAGAAAGATGCAATTAGTTGTCCTGGTCATTTTAGAACATTTGAAATTCAGCTAGATCACCACTTAGTAGCGCAATAGTAAAGGGGGCCTAAACCCCAGATGTTGGAGTTGGATTTCAATCCTTGAAGGAATGGGATAAAGACACTTTGGGATGGGAGCAGGGAAGGGAGGGAACTTCCAACTTCATTATTATATGCTCAGCCTGTCTGAAGACATTTGAACATTCCTTCTGGGTAATTTGCTTTGAAGTTTGTGCTACATAAAAAGCTCCAGGTATTTGAAAACAAAGTTCCCATTTTTGAAAAGCATGGTAAAGCTGCAACACAATGGAAAAGATTGAATTAATACTACTGGAATCTGGCAAAGAGCTGAGAATGACTTCAGCCATTGCAGAGTTCCTCCCTATGGTGGTTGAAACTGTTTATTTCTGTGTCGCGCCAGTCCAGGAGACAACAAAGAGGAAAGTGAATGAGCTCAGATCTGTTCATCTCAATAAGGCAGTATGAGACTGTCCTCCCAGCCTGCCTCTCACCTGCCCTGCTTCTGCCAAAGTGATCTGTTTGAAGTCCTCTTTGATACCTTTGAGGGCGCTGTTCAAGGAAGAGGACGTTAGGGGACCAGAGAGTTATTGCCTCTGTGCAAATTTTTCAAGTTAGATTAAAATTAGCACCGCAAGGGTTTGGAGGAACCTACCTACTGAGGAAAGAAGGCTTCTTTTCAAAGTACAAAGAAAACAATGTGTACCAAGGAGGCAGCCCACAGAGGAAGCACAGTGAAAGGAATGTAATTCCTGTGGAATGTACCAGACTCTTCCACTCACAATGTTTTGTGGGGTTTTTTTAAAAAAATATCTTTTATTGATTTTTCACAGAGAGGAAGGGAGAGGGATGGAGAGGTAGAAACATCGATGAGAGAAATGTCTATCAGCTGCCTCCTACACACACCCTACTGGGGATGTGCTCACAACCAAGGTACATGCCCTTGACTGGAATCGAGCCTGGGACCTTTTAGTCAGTAGGCTGATGCTCTATCCACTGAGCCAAACTGGTTAGGGCCGCTCTGCAATATTGACACCACATGAATCTGGGTAGAATTAAGTTTACCCCCTTGTTTTTCCACGTCAGGAAAGGGAAACCTGGAGAAATGAAATTCCATGCACAGAGCTAGCTAGAAGCAGACACAGGACTATTACTGAAATCTCCTAGTTCCTAGTCTCAGTCCTTTCTCCACCCTGCCAAATTCTGTGTATCTAAATTATGGGGTCTTAACTGAGGGCTGTGAATGAGTCCGTGGGAGGGGTGGGGGGGGGGACTCTGAGCTTCCTAAAAATAAATTATATGCAAAAAAATGCATATATGTTCAGTTCCTGATTGTCATCAGATACCCAAAGAGGTCTAAGATCCAAAAAGAGGGAAGAACCACTGTCTTAAATTCATAAAGACCTCATTGGGAGTGGGATCCTGGTGTCTTCATATGGACCAACGGGAAGTCAAGAATTTCTCCACCATCATTTCTCTAAGGAGCCAAAACTGCTTTCAAATATTGGTTGCTTCGTGCTCAACCAAGTGTCCACTTCCATTCATTTATTCCTTACTCCTTTATTTATTCTGCGAACATATTGTGACTGTCCAATCTATGTGTCAGCACCAGTTCAACAAGCTCTCAGGAGGGGACTGGGAAAAGGACCCCCCCTGTGCTGGGCTCTTGTTGGCAGAACAAACACCAGGCTGCTACCACATTCTCACTGTTGCAATGAAGTACACAGAACCTCAAAATGACAGGAACCACACACCACACACATACATATATGGGGGAGCCAGCAAAGCCAGCATTAAGAAGTGGGCCCTGTTAAAGAACCAGGGGCAGAGCAACCTGGTTCCACGTTTCATAGATGGATGCCTCATGGCAGTAGCATATCCCGTCCTTGCAAGGGCTACTCCCAGTTGAGTCCTTTTCTGAGACATCGCCCTTAGTAAGTATGCACCCACAGCCGCTGACTCTACAACAAGGAGAGACTGTGTTTCATTCATCTGGATAATCTTTGTAGTGGGCAAATGGGAAATCATGGCAATGGACATACGGTTACACCTTAGGACAGATGTGTCTTAGACACGGACATGCAAATACAAGCCCAGTTCTCTGGACTCCTCACCATATGCTCAAACTACGGCCCGCAGGCCACATGCGGCCCGCAGAGGAGTCTGATCCGGCCCGCCAGGTTTTTTGGGCAGTGAGCGCAGCCGAGGTGTTACAGTAGGAATTAGTAGTTCATATAGTCCGGCCCTCCAGCTCTCTGAGGGACCGTGATCTGGCCCCCACTTTAAAAAGTTTGAGGACCCCTGCGAGTGTACATTGATGGAGGAAGTGAGGCAATAAATAACTATTTGTACCTGTTGGTTGTGCTTTTTCTGAAAGAACTTCAGGCACAATGGAATGCACCTGGGTTGTCCTAAAGGCAAGGCTGGGGGAATCACTGTCTGGTCTTCCCTGAAACGCAAGGGAGGCACTGGTGCCATTTGCATAGCCCTCTGCCCTGACATAACAAGGGAAGGTGTCTACTGAGATGGAGAAATATTAGTCCCACTATGTAGCATCTTAGTGAAGTTTGAAGATTTTGTTCACTGAGATCTATAAAGGATCTTGTTCAAGTCCTTAAAAAATGGCAAAGACTCACCCCTTTGCTATTACCCATTCCAGGCTCATCCTTGGAAAAAACCATGTGATTCTCTTTGGCAAAACAGTATACTTAAATTCAAGGGTGAACCTTTAACGTGTTTTGCCACCCCCCCCACACGTACACTCACGCACACAGACACACACACATGCACACATAATGCATGGACACTCACTACACCTATCACAAATGTACACACATTCATGCATATACATAACACACACAGCCATGCACACTGCCTTTTACAACATCCCTGACACATTTGAGGTACATTTAAAATGTCTTAGCAGGCCTAGCTGGTGTGATTCAGTGGTTAAGTCTTGGCCCATGAACCAGGAAGATCATGGTTCGATTCCCAGTCAGGGCACATGCCTGGGTTGCTAGCTTGGTCCCCAGTAGGAGGCATGCAGGAGGCAGCTGATTGATGATTTTCTCTCACCACTGATGTTTCTATCTCTCTCTCCTTTTCCCTTCTCTCTGAAATCAATAAAAAATATTTTTTATTTTTTAATATATATTTTTATTGATTTTTTTTACAAAGAGGAAGAAAGAGGGATAGAGAGCCAGAAACATCAATGAGAGAGAAACATCGACCAGCTGCCTCCTGCACACCCCCCACCAGGGATGTGCCTGCAACCAACGTACATGCCCTTGACCGGAATTGAACCTGGGACCCTTCAGTCTGCAGGCCGATGCTCTATCCACTGAGCAAAACCGGTTTGGGCAATAAAAACATATTTTAAAAAATAAAACAAAAATGCCTTAGCAGACCCAGCCCTGTGGTTCTATGGGCTTTGACAGACCATGGCTTCAGCTATGTGCAGGAAGCCATAACACATACTACCTTCCCCTTCTATGTTTCCTGTGACTTGGTCTGAGACCAGCCAAGCAGTACACTAAGAAAGAAACCTTGGAAAGTGAATGTTTCTTAGAATTTACAAATTGCAGATAAGAGATCAACCGAAGGACTTGAATGCATGCATATAAGAATAACCAACGGATGCAAAACATTTGGGGGTGAGGGCATGTATGGGAGTGGGGAGGGGCAACGGTAAGATAGGTACACATATAATATGTTAATAAAAGAAAAAAAAATTTACAAATTGCTAACTAGCAGCTTTATAGTGGGAAATTGCATTTGATGGAATTTTCTAAGACAAAGATGAAAAGAGCAAAGGCCAAAACCACAGCGATCTCTCCCAAGGTCTAGGCAGGAAGTGAGGAAGGACATGTGGGATGGTCATTCCATCTTGTCTTGCTCACCTACAGTCTTAAGATGGCTTTTGTCATTTATCCCTAGCATTAGTTTGATAGGAAAGTCAATGTCTTTCATGCACATTAAGAAAAGCAGGTTCCATCCAAAGAAGTATGGTGATAGGAAACATCAGTTTGGGAGAAAAGTCATACAAGTCACACACACACACACACACACACACACACACACACACACGGCGTGAACATTAAGAGGAGCAGGGGAGAGGAGGTCTAGTGCAGTTCCAAAATTTAGACACTATGACAAGAAAAAAGCAATTAATGGTAAGGTGAAATGAATCACATTTGTATGGGATGACTGAACTTGAAATAATGGAGT